AGGGCGAGCGGGTGCCGTGGATCATGAAGCGCTCCCGCATGTCGTCGAGCAGGTCGGCCGGCTGCGCAGCGTCGCCAGCGTCGGCCGCGCGGATCGCCTTCTCGATTACAAGCATCTGAGCAATCTTGATGAAGCCCGAGAGGCTGGGGGTGTAGTTCTGGGCCTCTTTGAGATTGCCCTTGCCGAGGTCGATGCCAAGAACGGCGAGAAAGCCTACGACCGCGCTCTCAAACAGGTCGCCCTTCAGGTCGTGATCCAGCAGCGCTATGCAGAGGTCGAGGCAGCTGTCGTCTACGGCGGCACGCGCGCTCTGGCGAGCCGACTCATGCTCGGCAGGCACCTGCAACAGACGGTCGATCTGCAGGAAGACCTCGCCGAGAAGGGCGGCCTGTCGGCTCTGCAGCTGGTGACGCAGCCGGATCGTCTGGCAGGGATCCGCCGCGCGGGCCACAAAGCAGAGGAGGCCTTTCCAGACGGCCTGGTACTTGCGGAAGGTCGCCTTCTGCAGCTTGATCATGAGCGGCCGGTCCGAGGCCCGCGGCCGCTGGAGGAAGCTGTTGATGCGTGCTTGGTCGAATACGTTGATCCGGTCCTGGCAGATCGACGTGTAGGCGGCGTCGACGAGCCGATCCAGACTCTGGCCTAGCGCAAACAACCCGGGCTCCGTGGCTAGGGAGGGCATCGCAGCAAGCGCGGCTAGCTGTTCAAAGGAATGCCCGGCGAGGTACTCTGGCCAGCGGGTGAGCTGGAGCCACGGCGACACTTCCTTTCGGCTCGCATTTGCGTGAACCGTCTGGCCTGCGCTCTGCCGCTCCTCGATGAGCATTGCCAGCTCGAGCCTCGCACGCGCCGCATCGGAGCCGGAGGCGGCGGGCGCCGGCCCAGCGTCCGCCGCATCGCCAGCCGAGGCGACGTTAGGCAGTCGAACTTCGAAATAGCTCGAGTACCGCCCCGTTCCAAACAGACGCTGGCAACAGACCGACCGCACAGCCTCTGCGAGCCGCTTCAGGCGCTCCTGTTGCCGTGTTGGCCCGGAGCCCCCAAACTTGCCCTGTGCGACTCCCCATCCACGGTGTGCTTTCCGCCAATGCGAGCGCATCGTTTCCGGGCTTCGAGCGACGAATGGACAGGCGCCGGCGTCGAGCTGGCAGCGGAGGCCGTCCTTGTAGCATGGCAGCTCGTGAATCAGCTCGACAGCGGCGTCTGGAAAGGTGAATTCGTCCGCACTACCGCACAGATCCAGCCAGCGCGTCAGCAGGTCCCGGGTTAGTCGGCGCGCCTCTCCCGCAAGAAGCTGATGGACGTCGGATTGGAGATGGCGGAGGAGATGGCTCGGCCACACGGCATAGCGACATCGCCGGCAGACCAAGACTCGGTACTCTACGACGTACCCAAAGCCGTCCATTGCCGCGCCTAGTCGTCTAGGATCGACCTCGAGCCTGCTCTCTACTGACCGACCGGCCTAGACGGGCGTTCCTCCGCATCACGACGACGCGTCGTCCGCGGTGCCCGTAGCGTCTCCGCCGCACGCGCGCAACCCTCCAGGTCCCACCCCCGTCGCGGACCGTTTCATAGCCGCGCTGCCGCTAACGGTCGAGGTAGGGCAAGGAACGTACAAACCGGACTGGCTACATACGGTCCGACGCGATTTGTAGGCGATAGGAGGGGAACGGCGGCGAGGTGGCCATATGAAAGTAGGTCGGACGGAGGTGAAGTAGCGATAGGGAGTGTTTCAGGTGAATCGGGGCGGGTTGGGGGGGCTGATACCAGTCAGGGGCTGATACCAGTCAGGAATAGTAGTGAGGGTCGCCTGGGCTTCAAAGCTCGGCATGGTAATGCCCGGAGTACGCCCATCGCTGTTCATGCCCGTCTCGCGGACGATGCATTCGATGTGATCCTGATCACGAATGGCGTCACTGAGAGGCTTCAACATCACCGCAGCGACCCCTTCGCCGCGCGCATAGCCGTCCGCGCTCGCGTCCCACCTGCCAGAGAGATCAGCCAATTGCAATCGCCAATGAAGAGGCGGGGAGACACATACATTGCGCTTCTCGACCGCGGGCTTAACATGTGAAGTTTTGATTCTGAAATGTAACCAGTCGGATCCAGAATGAGATTGGCACCCATAGCAAGCGCAAGTTTTGACTCGCCCCGACGCAGAGATTGCACTGCCAGATGCACGGCAGCTAAGGATGACGAGCAGGCAGTGTCGAGAGTCATCGATGGTCCACGCAGGTCGAAGACGTAGGATACGCGATTGGACAAGATGCTGTTCGCAGTTCCAACTGCATGATATCGATTGATGGTCTCTGGGTCGCGCGTTTGAATGTGCATGTAGTCCGCAGTCATGACTCCGAGATGTACAGAAGTCAAAGAGCCTTGCATCTGTTTAAGAGCATAGCCTGCGGATTCCATAGCCTCATAAGCCACCTCGAGAGCAATTCGTTGTTGTGGATCCATCCCCTCCGCTTCAGCGGGATTGATGTTGAAGAACGAGGCATCGAAGTGACGTGTATCTTCCTGTATTAAGTAGCTCTTGTTGCAGACATCGGTACTGCCATGATGCTCGCCGTCGCGATGTGAGAATGCACCAAGGTTCAGACGCTCCTCGGGAAAATCACAGAGGACATCGCGTGGCGAGTGAAGTAGTTCCCAAAGCTTGGACGGCGACGCAGCGCCGCCAGGAAACCGGCAGCCCGATCCAATGACGGCAATGGGTTCATTGCGGGGGTCCATTGCTGCGATTGAGGTTGAGCTTGTTTGCACTACGGCTATGTAAAACGGGGATGTCGTCTTTTGATATGAGAGATGATATTATAATGAGGAAAAAACGAGACACAAAGCAGCAAGTCAACGAGCGGCTTGAAAGAGTTAAATTATGCAGTATTGTGAAGACGGCATCGTTGCAAGGCGAAGGCGGCGAATAATTAGATGGGCTTCCATGTCCGGGTGGCCTCTCGGAGGGTTTGGAATTTGCGGACCCTTTGCGTGGCATGGGAACGCCAACGTCGGTCGGATGTTTCCAGCCTCACAGCGGATTGATTACAGGTATAGTCGTAGGTCAAATCGGACGGGGCACTCCGATGACTAACTTGACGCTCGGCCTCTGCGATGACTAAGATCTTCAAACCAGCCGAAGGGGGAAGAATGAAGACCAGTGCTTGCATGGAGGCTCGCTGCACTCACCTTCCCCTTCGGTTGCACAACCAATTGCAGCGGAGTGGTGAATCATTTTACTTCAGTCCCTCACTTACCATGGCTTCGATCGCTGTACCAAGCACGCAGCGTGCGCTGAAGGTAAAGGGAGCTGGCGCGATCAATCTGGAAGAATCATGTCCGGTACTCGCTCCCCGCGCGGACGAAGTTCTTGTTCGCATCAAAGCCATCGCACTGAACCCATTCGATTGGAAATCTCTCGATATGTCGCCCGCACCCGGTTCGACTTGGGGATGCGATTTCTCGGGAATTGTGGTAGAATGCGGCAAGAACGTGATCGGATTCGCACAGGGAGATCTTGTCGCTGGCGCAGCGCCAGGAAACAATGCTGATGAACCACATAGCGGTGCCTTTGCTGAATACGCCAATGTGCCAGCAGCAGTGCTTTTCAAGGTCCCGTCATGGTTGTCATTCCAAGACGCGGCAACTTTGGGCTGTGGCCTCCTGACTGTCGGGCTGGCCTTGTACCATATACTGAAATTGCCACTTCCATACAGCAAGACGCATACCAGTTCGCAATACGTTCTGATCTATGGTGGTGGAACTGCCACCGGCACTCTAGCTATCCAGGCGGCGAAATTGTGAGTACCGAGCAGATGCTCTCCATAATGGCCTACCTTCTGTCCTCGCGAGGCTCATGATACTGACCTGGGCGGATGAAATAGATCAGGTTTGATTCCGATCACAACTTGCTCACCACACAACTTCGAACGCGTCAAAGCACTCGGCGCCATCGAAGCATGGGACTATCACTCGCCCGACTGCGCCGACCAGATCCGCACGTTCACCAAGGATCATCTGGCCTACGCACTCGACTGCATCACTGACTCTGGGAGCATGAAGATCTGCTATGCCGCCATCGGCAGCAATGGTGGGAGGTATGTCGGCCTGGATCAATTCCCGCTTCGAGGCCACACGCGTCGGGAAGTACGACCACACTGGATCATCGCGTGGACTGTTCTGGGAAAGCCGATTAACATGGCAAAGCCATACCGGCGAGATGCGAAGCCGCGAGATCAAAGGTTTCAGGAGCGATGGCGGCCGATTGCACAAAAGATGTTGGATCAAAAAGACATCCTCACGCACCCAGCCGAGGTCAGCAATTCGGGGCTGGCGGGCGTGGCCGCTGGCGCCGACCGCTTACGTAAAGGCGCCGCTGCAGGAAAGAAGTTGGTCTTTCTCATTCACCAGTAGCGGCGGCGGGCAACCCGCTGATTTGGTGTCGACCAAGCTGCCATTCTACACTGCTCTATCTGCTGAACATAATTCGGTCTACATCGCTTGATGTGAGACTAAGGGCATAAGGGCATAGAACCCTCAGCTTCCAACGTTCTCGACGAAGTGTCAGATCAGTCATCAGAGTAATGAGTATCAGATTAATCATCCCATCCGATCCAATCAATTCTTGCCCCAGTGTATAGGTCACGCAATAATGCACGATGCATTATACTTTCAATTGAAGCTTTGCTTAGAGATATGACGTCTACTGCCGAACATCTATCGTCCCTGAACGCGAAGACATTTGGGTCAGGGAAAGTACAGTGGTGGTGATTCTTTGAGCAACCACTATGCGTCTTTGAAAGGAAAGACCGCGCCTTTGTGAATCATGCCCGTCTGAAAGACGACTTCGTCATATGGAAGCTGTGACTCAGTAACAAAAAGGTCCAACATCTGAGTGCAGTCTTATAATTTGTCTCAAGTAAACTTCGTGCAATTCAAGAGTGAAACCTGAAGAAAAGCATGTGTACGTTGTATCGCGATGGCAAGACAGCAAGTTAACCCCAACGGGCAAAAACCGCCCAACCCTAAAATCCGGTACAGCCTGGAGCCCTGGAGCCTGGAGCCCTGAAGCCCTGGAGGCCGGGCGGGCTCACGACGGAACACCTCGAGACCTCGACGCTTTCTCCTCACCACCACGAAATGCCAGGCACGATCGCCGATCGGCCCGCGACCGCCTCCTCGCCAAACTCCTTCTTGTACCAACGCAGCCCGCGCCGAGCCTGCGGCGGCATGCACGCGATGAAGTTGATTACGTAGGCCAGCGGTGCCAACGGAAGTGCCGTGTTGAAATACTGCGCTGCCCAGGCGAATGGTAAATTCCATGGCGCGAGCCTGAGGGCGGGACTCTGCATCGCACCCGTAGGCGCGATGGTCGTTTGAACTGCCACGCCAACGAGCACGAAACCCAGCCATTCGATCCACTCCCAGAGATAGTGCGGGTAGAGACAGTATCGGAACAAGCCGTCGGCCGGGGGTATAACGTAGACCTTGTGGTAGATGTTTCCAGATGCTGGCACGCCTTTTGACGAGGAGACTTGCGCACGACGTTGGCCTTCTTCTCTTCTCATGCGCCAGAGTCGGTGCTCCGCCAAGATGTTGTTGGTCATGCCCAACACGAATAGGGCCAATCCAATGTAAGGAATAGTTTGAGAGGCAACCGATTTGGAGGTTTCCGTCGAGATGGTAGCAAGGCCATCGAACCCCAAAATCGAAGTGTGATATCCCATGATCCAAGGCGTGAGGCACGCGGTGTTGAACCAATTGTGCCAGCACACCATGAGAAAGATCTCAATACCGACCGGCGAGATGCTAGGAGCCACCAATAGCGGCCCAATGTACGCCCGATTCACATAGTGGACGCAGTACAAGAGCACCATCACAGCATTCCATATCGGGAGTTCCTGAATCGAGAACTGACGCGAGAAATTCCAGACCAGGTACAGCATGTGGAGAGGACCCACGGACTCCATGACTGCCCATGCGACACGCCCGTTGATATTGTAGCCTGAGGGTCTGGAGAACTTGCCACAGGGGTGATGGTCGCTGAACCACATCCCGATGGTGAACTGTGAATCGATGAGCTTTGTGCCGCTTGCAGAAACGTCTCTTCTCACTTACCAGAGGAGCCCATTGGAACGCGTTCAGGAGAGTCGCGTACGCCGTCGGTGTGGGCGGGAAAAAGACCGCAATAGTCGCCAACATGATTAAGCCCGCGCTTCTTCCCGGGAGATGTTGATTGTCGTGTCGTGCTCACAATTGTGAAAGATGCAATGCGCATGAGCTGCTTTTGATATTTCCTAAAAGAGCAGATCACACGATCTTCAAGTCTAACTTGAGTCTATCATTGGAGCTCGACACGATCCATATCGAAAGTACGTGGCCGTTCGTACGAAACTCGCCGCAACCAACATTCCGCTTATCAAACCTATGGTCAAGTCAAACCCGCCGAAACTCTATAGAGTCTCGCTGCTGCCACATGCTTTGAACGCGTCCTCACAATTTGTTCGTAGGTATAATCCTCGTTCGTGCTTGAACAAGAAGAGCTTCGTTTATTACCGCACGTAACAATGGGTGTCAGGATGGTGTAGTTGAAAGTGGCCATTGAGCGGACGTCGCAAATTAATGCCTCAGGCACATATTGCGCAGCCGAGGCTCAAAGCAACAGATGGATCATCATAATAAAACCCAAAAGTCATTGCTCAATGAGAGCCAGCAAGGTTCATGCGAATACCCTCCGGCGACAGTTTCCCTGTCTCTCGTCTCGTCTCAAATCGCTCCTTATTAATTTAGCTAGGCTATTTCGAGAAGCAGTCTAGCATAGCACATTCTTGCATTTATTAATATAGTTGACGTCTACGTGCATGTTTGGAGAGGTCAAGAGTGAATAGCGATTGTCGAGTCCTGTCAGCTTGGCAAGTTTTCGGATCATCGGGGCGAGTAGCAAGAATGCCTTTCCAGTCGGCTCGAAGACTGTACAATATTTTCGTCGGTGCGCCTGCTATTTCCAAGTCCGATGAAGCAATCAAAATCGGTCTCATTGGATGTTCCAACATCGCGTACGTACAGACAGATACGGGATTTGAATCGACATAATGCAGCTTTGGAGCGCTGATAGTCACCATCAGACCCCAGGCTGTAATTCTACCATGTAGATCCCACGCAGAAGCCGTCGTTTGGGCTGTCGCAGCTCGTGATCGGAGCAGAGCTGCAGAATTCGCCAAAAAATGGGACATCCCGCATGTTCATGCATCCTACGAAGGTCCGTCTGTCCGCGTAGATGCTCCTCGCGCCTTTCTCGCTGCGGATGATTTACCAAACCAATGCAGATCTGATCAAAGACCCGCAAGTCGACTGCGTTTACATCTCCTTGCCAAATGCTCTACATTTCCAGTGGGCGCTCCGGGCTATTGAGCACGGCAAACATGTCCTCCTCGAGAAGCCTGCGACATCAAATGCCACAGAGATGGAAACTCTGGCTGCCAGTCCCGCTCTCCAGGTCCCAGATGCGCCGATCCTGCTGGAAGCCTGGCATAATCGCTTTCACCCCGCCTGGCAGACTTTCCTGTCCCTTTCTCGAGAACATCCCCATGCGGGACCTATCAGCAAGGTACATTGTCAGACGTACGCATGGAAAGGATTTGTACCTGCGACCGACATCCGGCTCAATTATGAGCTGTCAGGAGGTTGTCTGATGGACTTCGCAGTGTACAATATGGTTTGTATCCAGGATGTCTTGGAGGATTCAAGGCCGAAGGTGGATGATGTGCGGTTCAGACTGTGGGACGACCCCGTGTCGAAGAGCCAGGGCGGCCCGTCGGGGCAGATCGACATCGCGGTCGAGTGTACGCTCACCAACAAGTCGGGTGTGACAGCGACGCTGACATCGGACATGAGCAAGGTGGGCGACTGGCCCATTGTCCCGCGCGACTGGTCCAAGACCTGGCCGAGTGCGGGCTGGCCGAAATGTGTTGTGGAGTGCGATCCCATCGGAGTAAAGGACTCCTCACCGACCATTGAGGGAAGCAAACACACGTTACAACGAACATTGACCTTATGGAATCCTGTCCTCATGCATCTATGGCACTCCATCGACATTGTCGATGTCCATGCACGACAGACTTCTGACGGCGAGACGACGACGTGGACGGAGAAGCAGACTATCAAAGCTTATAGCTGGCGAGACGTGAACAAGAATCTTCCAGGAGAATTCTGGTGGTCTACGTACAGATATCAGCTCGAGGAATTGGTCAATCGCATCAAAGGCCGCGAGGGCTCAGGCGTGTGGATGAGCCTCGAGGATAGTGTTGGACAGATGGAGACGGTGGATAAAATTTATGTAAGCGGAGGGCTGAACATCAGGCCGACAAGTTCACTGGCAGGAAACCTTCGAGCATGATCATCTCGCAGTGTGTTGGTAAAGGATGGATGTCATCTATATAACTATATTGTTTTGAGACCACATTTCACAAACAATACGCCAGAATGTAAACGATTTCACGATTACTCAGCAGTGTGGATGTACAATTGATGAGTCATCGGCACCTCAAATCAGTCTAGCCCTCGAGCGCGAATCTTCACACGCACACCTTTCGAGTCCAATCGTGGCATCCCAACAAAAAAGTCATGACGAACAACGACATCCTCTTCCCCGGTCTCGTGTAGTATGAAGTCAAATCCTGAGAAAACCCTCGCCACTGTGAGAAAGAGCTCGGCATGAGCGAGGTTTATACCAATGCACATGCGTGCGCCGCGAGAGAACGGCACGAAGTGCTTGCCCATCTTTGTTCTGTCCCCCAGCCAACGCTCTGGCTGGAACGCGTGCGGGTCGGGAAAGATGGCTTCGTTAGTGTGTAGGAGGTATGAGGATGAGCTCACCACGGTCTGCAAGTGGTGATTTCAGTTAGAATTTGCTTGCGGTGGAGTGGGGATCTACTCACTCCCGGGGGTAATCGGAAGCCGCCGTATTGGAGCTCCTCTTTCGGTGCGATTCGAGGCAATCTTCCGGGAACGCCAAAGGATAGGCGGATGCCTTCCTGTATAACGCCGTTCTGCTCGTGAATTGTTAGTGATCTTGCCAGGTCTTCATTGAGTTCGACCTCGTACCAGGTATGGCAAAGCCTCCAACTCCACGAGTGAAGAGCGCTCATGCGTCTTAAGCTCGGATATAAGCTTCTTCCTGATGTCGGGATTTGCTGTGACATGGTAAGTGATGGTGGTCAAGGCCGCTGCTGTCGTCTCCGTGCCTGCGCCGAGAAAAATGGTCGCCTCGGCCTTGAATCTCGCGAGTGTCTTTTCCGAGTCAGCCAATTGCTTGCTATCCCGCAACTCGTGGAAAATCGTTCTGAGTCCTCGCGGTTGGGTCTTCGTGAGTACATCCGTGAGTTGGCCGGTGATTTTACCCTCGTATTCAGCCATGGGGGCTAATTTCGGATCAATGGTTGCAAGGACACGGAAAGGGATCTGCTGGATGAGGTCGAATAGCCATGGGAACATCCGTCCGATGGGATGGCTTTGCGGCATTTCATGGAAGACGTCTAGAAACTCCTTGCCAAATTTCTCTTGCTCAAGATTATCCATGCTCTCGCCGAACCAGTACTGCGCGATGATGTCCATGGTCAGGCCGCTATACAGCTCCTTGATGTTCATCACTTGTTCAGTCCCTGAGAGCCGAGCCATTCTCTCTCGGAGCTTATCTATTGTTTCTGAAATCAAAAATTCCGCATTGCGAATGGCCTGCTTCGAGAAGGAAGCTGCCATTGCCGTCCGTCGCGCCCGGTGCGTGTCCGCATCGAACGTATCAAAGGTACTCTGGTCGTGAAAGGCCATCCATCGGATCTTGTTGCGCGGATGATGCGGGCCGCCGGCATAGATTAGGTCGTAGAATGAGGCATCGTTGATATGGACTTCTCGGGGGTTGACGCGGACGATGGAACCGTACTTTTCATGAAGCTCTTGGATTTTCCAAAGATAGCGGCCATGACTCAGGCCATCGTAGTAGAACTCATATAAATAAGTCAAGGCGGCTAGGCGAGGTCCTGGTACATTCGAAATGGGAGAGAAGAACAATCGATAGGCGATGTTGGCTGTTACAAATGCCAGCGACACAGTAATTAAAACCAGTATAGACGACACAGAGAGCAAGATGTCCATGCTGAGCAAGTGTGCTCGCTCCGTTTCGTCCAGAGCCATCGAAGGTGATCGTACTAAGATTTCAAGAAGCTCAATGGCTTTTTAGTAGCCTGTTAGTGCAAAGCCCTTGTGTACTGCGCTATGCTCACGTCTCGGGGGGTTTTCTAAGCGGTGATCTTTGGGCTCCACCGCATAGTGGAGCTGGGGGAGGCGAGAGTTTTCGAGGCGGATTTCGCCTGGTCGTCCGTCTTTATGCTTGACCAACACGTCGCCATTCTCCGCGGAGCCATTCGTGTCGACATTATTGATTTTCACTATATCATCCTCAATTCTACCCCTGATCTTTTAGTGTCTCTTCTCAACCTTCAGAAAGTCATGAGTTGATCTGTTAAATATCCTTTCACCTAAACATGGTCGACATCTTGCTCTCTCTTGATCGTTGCTATTATTATATAAATCGGACGGAGGAACCGGATGACTCATCAGATACTCTTTCTTGCTGATGAAAAACTTTTGTCCAACTGGCTCCGCGCCTTTGAAACAACCTCGTTCTATAAGCTATGGGACTGTGCCATCCAGTTTGAGCGAAGCCCTTTGCAAATCTGGAGGCTCGCATCGAGATTTCTACAGAGATGATTGGCGTGAAATCAATTCATTCATTGTACTTCTGGGATATGTCTTATCTACTGAACAGGAGATTAGGTTCTACGACCGCTCAGGAGAGCCGGGCTCATACATCAAATGCGAGGCTTCAATCCACCAGTCGGGACACGGCCGCGGACTGCAAAGCTGTCAAACTCGCTGCCAATAGTACGCATCTCCTTCTCAGTTCGCTCGTAGAGGGTATCAAGTTGCTCCTGTGTAAAACCTTTGATCGGCAAAGCTGTTTGATTGCATGTTAGTCGCTGCATACGTTCGGGTCTCCGAGGTACTTACTTTTGGCCATCGCGATGATCTGAAATTCAAGAACAGTTAGTACGAGCATTGGAAGCAAGCTGAATCGTCAAAACATACCATTGGACCAGCACCAAGAGCACCGTTGATACTGCTATCCATTTTACCAGGCAACGCCTTGACGCCGACTTTGTTGCGGAGGAGAGTTTCCTCAACGTCTTCCAGTCCAGCCTCTTCCATGTACCTCTTCAGATCCTGCCCGAAGTTGCCGCCCATGTTCTTGATCTGCCAGATCTGCTCGAGAAGATCGAAGAATTCCCGCGCAACGGTCGCCTCGCCGAGGATGGTCTGATCGGCGTTGAGCTCGACCAGCTCCACCCAACCTCCAGGCTTCGCAAGCGCGCAAAGGTTGGCAACCGCTTGCTTGATCGGGAAGTCTCCGCAGAAACCGAGAACCTGGCGCTGATGCACGAGGTCGAAGCTTCCCTGCCACTCCTGGGGCCAAGGCTCTGTGATGGACTGTTTGGCAAAGGTGATGTTCGGCGGAATCGGGTTGGGGAACAACTCGCCGACAAGATCCGTACCAACCCACGTCTGCGTGGCCACGACGTCGCCGGCCAGCTTTTGAGCATCTTGGATCCAGACGGCTAAAGTAGATGTCAGTGTGCCCTTTTGGTTCCTGATGAGACATGTGACCAGAGAATCATGATCGTCTTACCATCGGCGGTGGCAGAGTCCAGAACCCGGAGGCCAGGCTTCTTCCAGTTGATTGGAGCCAGTGTGTATTTACCATCCGCAGCATCGGTGTAAACCTCGTGCATGTCACGGAGGCGATCGAGCTCAAGCTGGAGGCCGCGTTGCTTGACATCTTCCATTAAAGCGTCCATGCCTTGGCCGTTGGAAACATCTATGTTGCTAGATCCTGCCAAAAAGGCCAAATGCGGCATGCTTTCCTCCATGGTTGAGAGTTAATGAATATTGAAATGTGATAGGACTTGAAGAAATGCTGTCTTTGATTCGATAGTCCTTTAGGTACTTTGTCGTGGGAAAGTCTTTGAGTTATGTTCTAAGGCGAAACTGTCCGTGATGGCGGAGGAATATGATATCCAGTGCTTCGATCAACGCAAGCCTCCGGCCACGGTCGGCGACTTTGTATCGATTTCTCGGATTTAGTGAGTCTAGATGAAAGCGCCTTTGCACATCCCGCAATACACTTCTCTCAGTGACATTGTCTTTTGAAGCCCGGCGCGTTGCACGAGAAGATTTTCCTGGCTTTGCTCGCACTTTCTTATGTTGACAGAACTCTGGAGATCCGAAGTCCACTCAGATTGCCTGCGAAGATGAAGGACCACTGGTCGCCCATAACTCTGCTCGTAGTTATCCCCGGCGCAACAGTTTTAATATTTACCTTGATCAACATCATTTACCGGCTTTACTTTCATCCTCTCAAAAAGGTCCCTGGGCCGGTCTGGTCAGCTGCTTCTTCTCTACCAAGTTTCTATCATAATTTTATCCGAAAAGGCCAGTGGTACAGAGAAGTCGCTCGTCTTCACGAGAATTATGGTGAGCATCCCCAGAACTATCGACCTTCCTATGCTGATATGTCGAAAGGTCCCATTGTTCGTATCGGACCAAACGAAATCCATCTAAGTAGGCCCGAACACTATGAAACAGTTTACGGAAATACCAGCAGCTTCTACAAGGACCCCGGATTCTATGCAATCATGGGAATGGAGGAAGCCATGTTTTGCACCATCCCGAATGATCTTCACCGTCAGCGTCGATCGCCCCTCAACCCATTCTTCTCCAGGAAAGCCATCGTCGACAGCGAGTTCATCGTCCACGATAAGGCAGAGCGTCTTTGCCGACGGATCAGCAAGGCCGCGCGGGAAAAGCAACCGGTCAATCTCACCCGCGGGTTCCGAGCGCTGTCCGTCGATGTCGTGACCGATTACAGCTTCAATCGGACAATGGGTCTTCTGGAAGATGAGAACTTTGGAGCCTGGTTTACAGACATGCTTCGTGAAGCTGGGCCAATGTTTTGGATATTTCAGCAATTTCCAATATTTGCGACGTTATTACAGAGCTTACCGCCGAGCTTAGCTAAAAGGTTGAGTGCTTCTTTCGAAGCCTTTGACAAGCTTCTATCGGTACGCTCATGCCTTCAACATATTATTGGAACCTTGCTCATCATGACAGACAACAAAAGCACAGGTCACCGTCTTGAAGCAAGACATGGCAGCCGGTGTTAAACCGCCTCGGCAAACCATTTTTCATGCATTGCTTGAAGCCGACGCCGAGACAGGTCGAGCGGTGCGAAGCACACAGAACTTGGCGGACGAGTCTATGTCGTTGACCTCCGCCGCTGCAGATAGTACCGGGAATGCCATGGCTTATGCCGTGTTCTCGGTGCTCTCCGATTCCGAGATTCATAAACGAGTCTTGGACGAGCTCCGCCAGAATTTCCCCGATGATGTCTCCCAAATGGATATGACGTCGCTGGAGAAGCTGCCATACTTCATGGGCGTGATCAAAGAAGCGCAGAGGTATGATCGCGGGAAACTACATCGCGAATTGAAACTTTGCTGAGCGTGTGCAGGTTGTCATATGGTGTTATTGGCAGATTACCCCGGATCGTCCCAAAGGGTGGCGCTGTCTTTGAAGGTCATTACCTTCCACCAAAGGTGAATATTTGCCAACCCCGATGCCTGCTGTTGAAGAAGCTGACATTCCATTACCATCCAGACGGTAGTCAGTATGAGTACATGGACCATGCACAACAATGTCGATGCCTTCCCAGAAGCCGAAAAATTTAACCCATCGCGATGGCAAGATCCGAATGGTGCTCAGCTACGCGAAAAGTGCTTTGTACCGTTCTCCAAAGGCCGTCGGATGTGCCTAGGTCACATCCTAGCGGTCTGTGAGCTGACATGCACAGTCGCCATGGTCCTCCGTCGCTTCGAACATATGAAGATCTTCCAGACGACGGCGGATGATTTGGTTTACGAGGATTATGTGGGTGCTGTCCATCCCCTGGAAGCTAATCCATTTATGGTCATGGTGAATGAGTGAGTGGAGCGGAGCGTGGCCGCCGATCCAGCATTGGAGGCCTTGCACACGGAAATTGGAAGGGGCGTTGCGATGACTCCTCAAATGCTCTGACTACTGATGACTAAGAAATCCAGGTTTGTGACCAACCTACGTAGCTGGTAACGGATGAGATGTTGCTTTTCATTAAAAATGTCGGAGTGCCCGTCCGATTTGACCGATACCTGTCACAAAAATTCTGTGCCGTCGTTTCTACGACATTGGTTTTTCGCCGGTCCAGCATGGCCTTCTGTTCTCATGTGCTGTACTGTGTCTTTTAACCTGCTTGTGTGCACAGCAATGCATTTGTTGATGGATTTAATTGTTTGCGTGGATGATGTCGCTGCGAATGTCTGTCAGAGTACCTGCATGAGGTGGCGCCTATAAATAAGGAGCACGCCAACACGTATACACGTGCCGAACACCTGGTCGCATCTCTCGTCCACTGCACTTCTCACGATACGCCGTTCAAATCAGGCAGTATCCGTCTCGAGGTCACTTGATTGATCACGCAGACCAGTCGGAAATGAAGTGCTGACTGACGTGGTGGTGTTGCGACTGACACCCATAAAAGTCAATTTCGCTGTTCACGCACCCAGTGGGGAACCCGGCATGCCCGGCACTGGGCGGCTGCGGACATGCTGATCCCTTGCTGAATGCAGATCATTTCTGGGAATAGCATATATGTCAACTTTGAAAACCCGCCGAAACCCGCCGAACTACGACTCGTAGACCTGGTGTGACCTCGCGTCGTAATGGGCTGCGCCGCATGCTGCAAGATTGCGTCACGCGTCTCAGATTTCGCTGTTGTCTGACGGTGTTCGCCTTTGACATCAATTTCTCCTCTCTGTTGACTCGAAGCAGTCAAGACCTGACGAGTCAAATTCTCTCGACTCAAAATGGAATACAACCAGAATGTCCCAAAAGAGTGTGTCTATATATGAAGATGCTTTTGTGCGGCTGCTCGGCTTGGACTGACGAGACTTCTGCAGAAAATTCGCCGTCTGGTCCTGGGGGCACAAAAGTGAGTATGGTGTCTTGCAAGCAAAATGTCCACATCTGATCAATTCGTTCCAGGACTACCGGCGCAGAAAGGTGTTGTCTCCTATCAGATTGCTCCGAACCGCGTTAGTCAAGAGACGATTCTCTATAACAAGGGCGGTGTGTTCAACATGATCCGGAGGTCCCGAAATCAATTCCTCTACGTCGTGCCTCCCTTCGTTGCGGCGTACTTTCTAATGAGTTGGGCTGAAGAAAGGTGAGTCAGAGTCGGCATATCGAGCCTTACCCAGATCAGTGAATCTTGCGAGCGCATTCTGACTAGTCTCTAGGAATCATTACCTCAATTCTAAAGAAGGTAGAGCGTTATTTGGAGACGATGCTGAGTGAGGACTTCGGGAAATGTAAAATACCGCCAGATGATTTAGATCGTCGACTTGCTCGAAGTGTTCCATTTGTGCTTCTTTCTAGACTATATGCATAAAAGAAGCTACAGTGCGTTAAATCCCTCGAGGGATTGTACAGCTGTCTTAAACCTCAAATTGAATGAATATGCGAGTTCTGAGTATGCAACAGACGACTCTATTAAAGTATCACATCTTATGAGTCTCTATTGGGGAATTACGGTCATACAGCTCCTGCTAGACGACCTCATGGCAAAATCTTTCCGCCAGAGACATCCCAAGCCTGGCCAAGAGCTCCCTCGAAGAATTTCTCCAGTTGAGCATAGTCTTCGAGATTCCCAATCCACCCAATGTGTAAATCCGGCCGAAGCACAACCACTGCACCCTTGGTACGATCCACGCCCCATGTCGAATAAGCAGTTCCATCGCAGTATCGATCGTATGGGACCTCTATATCGGCCATCACTTTCGATGCATCCCATCCGAATCTGGAATGGTTCGGACCGCGCATCGCCTCATGGAATTCGAGTAGAGGATGGTCTTTTGCGGAGGTGTGGATTGCGATGAGGTTGATCATAGAGGCCTCGCGGCCACGGTCGACATCGGAACGGTCATAATCGGAGGCTTCGGTAGGGAAGCAGTAAGGGTATCGGTCGTAGAGCAGAGATTTTCCTTGATTGCGATTGAGAAGCTGGTCGCAGAATCCATCAACTCGGTTCTTTTGCTCCTTTGCTCCAATGTCACCGGCAAGAAGCACGATATGGAATTGACCTTTAGCTTTCAGGCGAGCACTGGTCCAATAGGTCTGTCCATCTGCTTGCATCACTACACGGGCATGCGTGAAGGACTCGCCGACGAGAAGGTTGGATGAGGCGGTTTGAGTGCTCAGTGACCTTGAGACGAGGGCGCTGTCCGGATACTCCAAGATGTAAGAATCCGAGAAATTCCGGAACTCGTGGTAGCGTTGGATAATAACACCAGGTTCGACAAGAGCTTTATTGAATAGGGTTGTCCAGTTTCGGTCGTACCAAACCAGTCGTTTCGCCACAGGCAAGCGTTCCGTCTCGTAGGAATCAAGGAACGCTCTTCGGTTCAATTGAGAGGGTGCGCTGACAGCCAACGCAATCTTCCAGCCCAAGTTCCATGCGTCCTGGGCGCTGACGTTCAGGCCCAATCCAATCAATGGCGAGTTGTTGTGTAAAGCATCTCCACACAAGAAGATACGGGCCGTCTCAGCATGGGTAGCAGTCTCGGTGTAGCGCTGCCCAAGACTGTAGGCAGACCACCATTGACATTTCTCGAAATCGAATTGGTACGGCTGGAAGGCCTCCTTAACTCGGGTGCGGGCTTGCTCCAAGGTCACGCCAGCGCGAGTTGCGTCCTTTCCGTCTTCGCCAAAGGGGATGTAGATACGAAGGAGACCTTTTTCGCGAGGAATCATCAACGTGGTGCCGTAGGTGGTCTGCACGCCAGTGGGTCGTCGCACGTCGGCTAAATAATGATGGGTCAGCAGCTCCTTATGGCACTCCAGCGTGAGCACTCACGGAAGTCTGTCAGCGGGTATATGTCCAAAGCAACCCTATTGAACTCGTCAATTCAATATGGTCGATTCATTTGCTATGACGGCCTTACCAGACAGTATTGGTATGAGACCCTTCGGTCTTGAACCCAAGTTGTTTGCGGAGCCAGCTTCTGGCACCATCACATCCGATCACGTACTTCGCTCGAATGGTCTCCAAGTTGCGAGTTTCGCCATTTGTCTCGGGATTCGAGGCCGTGTGTTTGCCTTCTGGGTCACTGGTACCATTTGTCGTCGCGGGCTTGTCTTCATTGTGCCAATCCGGCGTAGTGATAGTGGCCGAGCCGTTATATTTGCTATTGGCACTGAAGCCTTTGTCCGAGTCTTGCAGGGTGATTGCAATAGGAAAAGCGTCGGCGTCATTGGCAAGTTCTTTCTCGATGACAAGACTGACTGCTTCGCGTCCTCGTTCCACGCGCACTTTGCCATCGGAAACATCCGAGATCGCGCGCTGGATGAGTTGCTCAATTCGTCCCTGAGACAAAGCCGCCGGTTGGTACGGTGTGACCAATGGTCGACGATGATCCTCGTAGAGCGGCAATTGCTCTACACGTTGGATGTGTCCGTTGGCATCACGAAGCCAACTAGCAGATTTGAGGAGAGGAAAAGATTCCTTGAGGACAGATTCCTGTAGTCCATATCCCATGCTGTCGAACATCTCCACCAAACGAGCTCTCATACCATCGGCTCGTCCGTGAAGCAATGCATTCGGGTCCTTGTCCACTACGCGAACGCCGAGACCACACCTCGCGATCCACCAACTGGCAATAAGACCTGCGGGCCCTGCTCCAACGACGAGCCTTGTACATAGTCAGTCCAATTCGAACACGAGTAAATTGCCAAATCGGAGTTCCTTACACGTCGGTCTCGGACGTCGGGATAGACGAGGTCATTTTGACCCGTTGTTCCTGAGTTGCGGATGTTTGGTAGTCACGTATGATGCACAAGTCAAATGCCAGGTCTTTGCGGAGTTTCCAGATTGCGAGATGTAATGTATCCATCATCTTTGATATATATATACACGTAGCCAAACGATCAGACCTAATTTTCCACGAACAGAGGTGGCCACAAGCAAGTCCGGCTTGCTTGACTTGCTTGACTTGATCCAAATGCGGTTAGTCACCAAGTCAAGTCGGCCAGGTTTTTATGAGTAATCAAGTCAAGCCGTAGATTGAGACTTGCTTGACTTGCTTGACATAGGTCTTGGCATAGATCTAGATTGTACATGTCGCGTACACTATGGCGAGAGTCACTCATCCGTATAGATTAGGGTCTCAGCGTGACCCTCCAGCTGCAACCCAAACCCTTATTTTCCCCTGCGGATACTGCCGGCGTCCAGACA